TTGGTGAAACATTTTTTATATTCTCGATTTGATATCGATTTGATAAAGTCGTTGATGCTAAAAAATGTATCATTTTTCATCAAATTTAAATTTAATGATAAGTTTGAATAATCATTGGAGATGGTCTAACAAAATATTTTAAAAAAAAAATTGACAAAGTTTAAAAAAATGGTAAATTACAAATACACCCCCTGAGGTTTTCTTAAAATATAAATTGCCCCCCGTGATTTGAAAAATTACGAATATTCCATTTTCATAATTTTTTATTTAAGAGAATTAACTGAAAAAATGAAATTTATAATTGTTTTCCTGTACAATAATAAAATTATCTAAATTATTAATTGAAACATATTTCTAACATCATTAAAAACTGTTAATTGATTTGATAATTTATTAATAAAAAAGTCAATTTGTTATGAAATTAAAAATCTCAAAGAATATGATAGAATTTTTAAAATTACTAGGAACAATTTGTACTTTAATCAAATGTCAAAGGGTGCATTCGTAATTTACTCTTTAAAAAATTACTAAAAAAATAAAAAAATCACTTTTGGTTGATTGTCAAAAGTCAAAGTTTTCAAATATTGCAGCTAATGCGCCGGACATGATGCGGCCGCCATCATCATCAATCAAATTTTAAAATTTAATGGCCATACACGTGTCTAAAATAGTACGGTGGTGTTGACGCCATAAAAGCCAAAAGTTAATTCTTGGCCGTCAGATGTATGTCTTGCACAGTTCTCCACGGAAGCTTCACCGTCATTTATAGCACTGCTGTCCCACACTTTATCAAATCATCACCAACACACCCGTTAGCATTAATTAACTTGTTAGATAAGTCCAATCTAATTTCTCAGATATTTTTCATTGATTTAAAATAATAAAATTTTATACTATGAAAATTTTAGATTAGTGTACTTTTATACTATGAAAAATTAATTTTTTAAATTAAGGAGAAATTACACTTACTTTTCCTAAACGTTGAAATAATTACACTAATTTCTCTTACATTTTAAACTATTATTAAGATTCTCCATCTGTTAAATTATTTAACAGAATTTGTTGATGTTATATAAAAAATGACAAGATTGTCCATTAATTATTTTATCCATTAATTAAAATTAAAAAAATATTTCATTCTTTAGATATTACGTTCTTATATTAAATTATTAGGATGTTAGGATAAAATATGCATGAATTTTAATGATATATATGCAAAATCTTAGGAGAGGTGAGTTAAAATTTTCATTTAAATAGCTTATTAATTCAAAGGCGCAATATGGTCATTAGTTAAAATTTTCATTTAAATAGCTTATTAATTCAAAGGCGCAATATGGTCATTTTAAATAGAAAGATAACAACATTTGTGTTAAATTAACGGATTGGAAAAATTTTGATGTCGTCAACAAAAGTAGGAAAGATTTTTATAATTATTAAAACTACATGAGAGATTCTTATATTTGTCAAAAATCTCAAGAGGTAAGTGTAATTTACTTTTTAATTTATCATATCTATGGTCATTTTAAATAGAAAGATAACAACATTTGTGTTAAATTAACGGATTGGAAAAATCTTGATGTCGTCAACAAAAGTAGGAAAGATTTTTATAATTATTAAAACTACATGAGAGATTCTTATATTTGTCAAAAATCTCAAGAGGTAAGTGTAATTTTACTCTTTAATTTATCATATCTTGTGTTTATTTTTATTTAAAAAAATTTAATTAATTAAAAGTATCAAATATATATATATATATATGGACCTAATATGGACCTCCAATGGATTTCATCTTATTGTCCAACTTACAATTATTTATAAAAGTTGAATAGATTCCATCAATAAGTTTCATAAATTTGACTTGAATTGAGTTGGGAAGAAGATAAAATTCCATCTTTATTTGAAGATTCAATTCATTCATTTATTTTCCAAGTCGGCAAGCTTATTGAGTCAAATCAGTGACCAAAGTTTTGATGCCTTTCATATACGACAAAAATTTTATGTCATGTTAAGACTTGGTTTGAGAAGTGAGTTGATTTTTTAACTTTTTAGTTTTTTTAACTATTTTAGATCATCTCCAACGGTTTATCAAAGTTGACATTAAATTTAAATTTTGATGAAAAAGTTGCTGTTTGGTGCTCCAACGGTTGCACCAAATCAATATCAAATTGAGATTTCATCAAACAATTCATCAAACTGAGGACAAGATACTGATTTCACCAAAATACTGTTTGTGACCGTTGGAAGGAGGACCCGGTCGACCAACCGGTTGCCCGGCCGGTTGACCAACCGGTCGACCGATTTCCTTTACAATTGGTGGGTTCAAACCGGTCAAAAAAAGTTCAAACAGGTAAAAAAAAAAAATTTATTTTGCCTTACCGGTCGACCGGCCGGTCAACCAACCGGTCGACCCAAACATCTTAAATGAGAATGAAAGCTGCAAATATGATTAGTCTGTTATCAAATTAAAGAAACAATTGTTTAATCATAGATTCATCTGATTGCTGAGATATGCACAATACATCTTTACTGAAACCACCAAACATCTTTATAGAAATAATTGATGAATCTATGAAAGCTGCAATTGTTTACATCATGAATAATATTTACGCTTACCGGTCGACCAACACGGGATTTGATACGGGATTTGATGCACCGTTGGAACGAGTGGTATCAGATTTGGTGAAATGGGTCATTTTTTACTCAAATTTGGTGAAAAAAGAAATTCACCATTGAAGATGCTCTTAGTTTGGGCTAAAAAGTTTAGTTTGAGAATGACTTTTTGGCTTTTTAGACTTTTTTTGTGAAAAAAGAGTGTAATGATTATGAGTTAAATGTGATGTTTTGTTTGTTATAATTAAAATAGACTATTTTATTTTTTGTGACTAAAATAACTCCAAACCTATCTAAACCCACTTGCCAAACCATGCCTAAGGCCATATTTGGGGATAGATTGTTTTTTTATTTTGTTTTGTTTTGTTTTGTTTTTTGTTTTTTGTTTTTTTTTTTGGGGAGGGGGGGTGTGTGTGTGTTAATATAGCCAATTTTCTTTTGGGAACAATAAAAATAAACTACTTATTAATTTATTAACTTATTTTTATCACATCACTTCTAATTTTTTACGTATCTTTTCGTAAAATAAAAAAATCTACTTATAAATCGTACTCAAAATAATTCAGATAAATTACACTCACTTTTCTTTAAATTTGAAAAAAACGACAGTAATCCCATACCTTTAAAAGTACACTCATCTTTCTAACCCTTCTTTTGAAGTGACCAAAATTAATGTTAATGATAGTTAGACATCGAAATAAATAAAAAAAAAATACATTTTAATAGAAAAAAATGATAATATTATTTTTTTTATTCATACGATTAATAAAGTATTTATAAAAAATAATTAAGTATTATATAAATTAAAATCTTTAAAAAAGTCAGAATAATTATCAACACTAATTATATTTTTTTCAAACATGAAGAGAGGTGAGTGTAGTTTACCTAATTAATTTTCATGTATAAAAAGTATATTATTGGCACTCTATTTCATATAATAGCACTACCCTTTCAATAAAGGGAAATTCTACTTACATAACACATTTATTCATTCATACCTTCTTCTTCTTTTATTATTTACTCGTGTAAAATTATTTTTAAGGATAAAAGATAAAAATTTAATAGATTTAATTATCTTTTTACACCCATTACACTTTAATTCCTACTTTTTTTTCCCCTTCCTTTCCAATTTCTTCTTTTCTATTACACATCTATTTTCAAAAAGTGATAATTATAATGTTTTAATCATAAAATAAAGCAATAGACAAATAAATGACGACGAATGACTAGTAAAAAAGTAAAAATTGAGAGTTTTTTTTTCTTTATTTTTTATGTTTTCGTTTCGATTTTTAATAGAGATGTTCGATTTTTATTTGGTGTACCCGAACTGAACAAAATTAAATAGTCTGGAATCACTCTGGTGAACAAAATACACATTCAATAATCTACTGTCGCACAAAAAATATTTATTCAGTAACCTACTACCGAACAAAAATTACATGTACGGTAACTTATTATTAAACATTTTCAATTTCATTTTTCTGACATTTTTATTTTTTATACTTTGAAAGATTATACTTTATTCATTGTGGTAAGACTAGTAGTGCATTTTTAATGGACTACAGTTATGAATTCATTATAGATGAAATTTGTTAGCTTTATATGCTTCATAGTCATTCAGTACCTTTGAAAGTAAGTAATTGGATTTGTTTTCATCACTTGCACATTAATGAATGGGAGAAAGTATAGACTACTCGTATTGATTAATTCCATATGTTTGTCAGTCTTGATATAGTAACTACCAAAACTATCAATATAGATAGATTGCGATAACATCTTAGTGTGTTCTTATAGATATTTGTATTAACAAATTTGAAGATATTTGTATTGACAAATTTTATAAATGTTTTATAGATATTTATACACTTCATATTTTTATGGATTCTTGATGTTTTAAGAAAAATAAATTTGTAACTGTGCAACAATAAATGACTGAAAAAATCTAATTTATTAGGCAACATGATATTGGAAATAATCTAAATTATTTGGCAATGTATAACCAAACAAGTCCATTATAAATTTAGAAAAGAAAAAAAAATGATATTTTAAAGAAAATAAATTTGTAAATGTGCAGTAATAAATAGTTGAACAAATATAATTTGTTAGTTGAACAAATATAATTTGTTCGGTAATATAATACTGAAGTAATTCAAAAAGAATAAGTGTTATGAGAAAAATCTGTAAAGGATTTAATTTAGGATTAAAGGATGTAATGAAAATTTTAATTATTTCTTAAAGGTGTAATGAAAAAAATAAATGTAAAAAGATAAAATTATAGTGAAATTTCCCTTCAATAAAAAGGTCAAGTACCAAAAATTATCATAATATGACACGACAATAATGCCCTCCAACAAAAACAAAAGAAAAAAAGAAAAAAAGGATGAAGAAACTTATGAGAAGTAGAGGAATGCCTCATATTTATTAATCATTATCCATGTAATTAATAAGTATTTATAACAAAATGCCTATAATAACACAAAAAAATTTAAAAAAAAAAGAAGCATATGTAAAGAAATTAATAAATACTAGAAAGAAAAAGGTGAGAATCTTCAAAGTCCGTTAAGCTATCAACCTCTCACTCTTTCTAACCGTTTTTTTTCTTTAACCCTTTTTCCTAACCGTTTGACTTTCCCCGCCAACGACCTCTCCATATTTACAACTCTGCCCCTAACAAATGATAAAATTCCATCAGCATCCCCTTCTCCCCCCTCACACCCCATCCACTTTCACTGTGATTTTACTCGGCAACCAATCTCCGGCGCTCCGGCTACCGGAATCGTTATCGGATTCGAGCCGTACTATCACCGACTCATCGGATAAAGCGGCGGCGATGGAGGGTAGTCTTGCCTTGAGCTGTTGGAAGCTTGGAACCAATACCTTCTTGGCCCACTCTTCTAAACTTGTTCGGCCAAGCCAAACACCGCCTAAGATCTTCTCAAGAGCTTCCTCCTCCAATTCTATTGAGACCTTGTCGTCCACAACGGTTGAGAAATTGTCCGTGATCTTGGTTTTAATCTGGCGGCGAATAGGACCGACCTCGACTGGATTAAAGATGATTGCATCATCCACATAATTTACAAGCTCATGAGGTACAGAGGTTATCGAAAGTCGCCTGTTGTCAAGACGGTGATCATCAATGGTGAGATCGCTGGAATTGCGAGATCCATCGGTTTTATCATCCTCAAAATCAGCAGCAAGATTAAGATCCAAACATCGCCCCGGACCCATTTCTTTCCTAGGCCTTGTTGGCCTGTCTGCATCGGGTAGCCAATTGGCTCGTCGTTTGGCACTCTTTTCACTGATCGACAACCTTAATTCCCAGCCTCCACTTGCTATAGCCGCAAGCTTCTTTTCATCGAGCACATGATTAGTAGCCAAGTTTTTGAGATTGTCCGGCGACCAGTTTCCAGTAAGGATGAAAATAACATTACCGAGACTGATTTCACGACCATGAGAGTCAGCAAGTCGACCTCTCTCCATAGCCTGTTTTATACTCCCACGAATCAGAATATCCGCTTCATCAATATCCTCAAGCATAATTACTGAAAATGGGTTTCTACGAACTGCCTCTGCAATCCGATCCAAGGCTGTTTTACCACGAAAACTCATATCCGTTTCCTCATCATAGCGCTGTGATCCAAGGCATATCATTATTGGGTTGGTCCCACATATTTGCTCAGAAAGAACAGATGCCATTTTCTTCTTGCCAACCCTGTCGGGACCTGTGAATAATAGCCAAATATCACCTTTCGATCCTGTACCACGTTGTTTTCCATTACCTAATTTGCACCGCGTCACGGTTGTAGCCACTGCAGAAGCTGCTTCCCGCTGCCACCACACCTTCTCCATTAGACCTTTGAGGAGCTTCTTAAATGAATCCGCATCCATTGCATTAATGAATTTCTCGTCCTGAATTTCATGGAACTTGGGCTGTGAGTCAGAAGAGATGCATCCGAGGAAGTCTTTAACACGATCATTATGGGCTCTTTCCGGGGTGGTCTCATTGCTTTTTGTTGGCCCAAGAACAAGGTCTGTCCTCACTGGACTTCCCGGAGTGCTACTTGCTCTCTCGGAGGCTTGATTGATCACTGGATTTGAGTTCAATTGTAAACTTTCCCCAAGACTCTTAGTTTGTTGCAACTTCTGTTGGACAGGCGGGCGAACAAGCAGCTTCGGATTGTACAAGCCTGTCATCGACAGAGTTGTCGGAGCAATTCTTTCAGAGCTGAGACAGTGATGAAAATTAGGGTGAAGATTCAAGCATGCATCGCTCCATTTTTTCTGTAAATCTTGAGATTTCTGCTGAAACATCATTTCTTGATCCTTAGTCTGCAATTATCAATGAAAATAATGAATTTCGTTACTCAAATACAATCCAGCACTGTCAAACTTGTAATTCAACTGAAAATACCTGAGACTGATCTGCGGCTTTATTATCACTGTTGAGGACTTTGGCATTCTGCAACCATGGTGGCAGTGGTGCCTTAGATGCTTCTGATTTGACTTCAGATGAGGATTTCTCGTACTCTTTCGCTACCAATTTTGCTAGCTCTTGTTCGTAGCTCTCTGTACATTGTGGGCAAATGTTCATTCGTCGAGCACAATCTGGGTTTTCAGATACACGCCTTGGTAGAGCAGTGGGTGCAATCGAGAAGCTCTTCAATGGGCTGAGCGACTCAACTGAACTGCTAAGAATTCCATTGGTCCCGAACCTAAATATGTATAGCAGTGCGTGAGTTAACAGTAAAATAGGGAAAAAGTAATCTTCATTGGATTGGAAAGTAAGCCAAATTTTCAAGTTGTTTGACCCTCCCTATGTAGCGTGAAGGACTAAACAAGTAAAAAGATCTACCCCGTTTGGCATGGGCTAAAAAAAGCTGCTAATAAGCCAAAAAGTAGAATCCCATTTGTATTGAGATAAAATAGTTAAACAAACCAACTTTCCCACCAATAAAAGATTCAATTTTTTTATAAAGCAATTATCAAATGCATCAGCTCTTTTAGATTTTAAAGAAGCATAAAAAGAACTAAAGCCAAACTCAAAAAATGAGGAGAAAGAGAGAGTAGTAGGAGGAAGAATCATCCCGAGAAATTGCCGATTAAAGAATAGGTTAACTAAACCAGGAAATGTAGAGCAATTTTGAATGTCAAAACCAAAAAAATGTTTGCCATGCACCAAATACAGAGACAACTTGGACATGATAGGATATAGAAAGCAAGTTTAATTGTCAAAACCTCTAAATCAAGCAATATCATCAGAAACATTAATTTCTAATTTACACCAGAAAGAACTATCTGTGTGTATAAAATAACAATCTGAAAACAATCAGAGAACATGAATTCTGTAAACAGAAAGTCTGGAAGATATATTCTGTGAAAGATAACATCTACTATTACAGGTGCAACATAGACTCAAACTACTATTTCAAGTGCAATTACCATCTCAATCATCAATAGATAAAGCTAAAAATGAAACCAATGCATAATCAAGATTATTGAAAAGGAGATCACCAAAGCATACATATATACCTTCGAAACATCCCCGGAAGAGGCGATCTTGAAGCGATCGGCACAGCCTGCAGATCCCAATCATTCTCCATTGATGGATGATACACTTGACATCTCAAATAAGTCTCACATGTGGCGGTTCCAACCAACCAAAGATTAGCACCGCCGCTACCACCACCTCTGTCTTCGAACCTCGACAACAGTTTCGACATCTCCACCACGGCCGCCCTACCCTTCTCCGACACAACCTGCTGTGTGACCCCACCCGAACCCGGAACTCCAAAACTCACAGGCTGCTCAACTAGCCATTTCAAATCACCCAAATCAACAATAATGCCTCCACAACTCCCAATTTTAGCCTCAATTAGATCTCCCAATTCATTAATCTTGGCTGATATTTGATTCTTATCTAAACCCATCTCTTTCTCAATTGGAATCACCTGAACATTCTTGAGTGGTCCATCACCAAATTCCCCTTTCTCAATCCTCTTCAACACCTCCCTAATCACCGCCTCTGGCTCCGAATCCCCAACCAAAACCGGGTTCCTCTTCTTACTCTTCAACAAAATATCCGCAACCCGTTTAACATTTTCGCCCAACCCGGGTTGTGCTGAATTATTCCCCTGTAATCGGGGATTCAAATACAGATTCCGATTAGGCATCGAGACGGGCATTGGATTGGGCCGAAACCCAATTCCGATTGGGGATTGATTTACCGAAGGTGATTGTGAATTCAGGGATTGCTCAATTGTGGCTTTCACAGCAGGACTCGAAAAGCTCGCTTCACGCATGACTCGACTCACACTAGGGTCATCAAGAATCGATATGATGAGTTGTTCAAGCTCAACTTTGACAGCCAAGAGAGGCTGTTGTTGTTGCTCAGGGCAACCACGGCGTTGATGGGCTTGAGCTCGCTTGAGAGCGGCCATAAGGGCGTTGGAGATGGGTGGTTCGATGCCGGGGGTGAGGGTGGTCTGAGCCGTGGGGAGGCGCTCGAGAGCGACGCTGAAGCAGAGCTCAAGAGCTCGGCACTGAAGAGGGTGAGAGGAATTGGGATGTGAGCGAATGCAAGCTTGGCGGAGGAACCCAGACGGCGAGGCAAGAAGCGTCGCCGCCACGTGCAGCGGCGTTGTCTGGCCGTGGTTCCGGCGACCTGCCTCGGCGATCGAGAGGTTCAAAACACTCGCCGCCTCCGGGGTTAAGGTTTGCTGGATCGTACTTAGTCCAGCTCTCATCTCAGAAAATTTTCAATCCCTTTTTTTCTTTCTTTCTTTCTTTCTTTTTTTTCCGTCAAATTTTCTCAGAGAAGAAAAACAAAACCCTAGATTAAAACCTTAAAGATTGAATGGAGTTTAATTGAATTTCCACTTTCTCTCTCTATATATGCAAAGATGCTTCTGAATTGAAGTAGCAGAAAAAACCAAAACAGACCAGACCAACCAACAAATGCCACAAATATTCCCTTTTTCTTCGCTGAAATGGATTTTGTTTTTCCGATACTGCTATGATTGTGAATCAAATTTTTGAAAGAAAAGAAAAACCCACAAGTCAAGAGAACGAATTGGAGAGTGTGAACGGTTTTACAAAATGGAAAATACTCTTTCTTTTTTTTCCGGAAAATCAACCAACTTTCTCAGCTGACACACACACAAACCAACCTATGAACTCAAAATTCAACCCCCACCCAGAAAATAATTTTCACTTTTAAAACGCGGAAAAGGAAAATCTAAAAAGGTGTATAGGTTTGCTATAGGGATTCTATTTGCCTTTTCCTTTGCTTAATATCACACAAAAAGCTGTATAAGAATTCAAACCGAAAAGGAAGTATCGAACACCCCCTACCTCACACAAATCCTGCTCCTCATTTTTTTCTTTTCTCTCTTCTCTCTCTCTCTCTCTCCTCTTTCTTCTCTCTCTCTCTCTTTCTCTCTCTCCTCTTTAAAAGCTAATCAAGATGATGGTTAAAGCTATAGAGAGAAGAACAAGAACAACAACACCGTCTCTTTCTCATTGAATACCCAAAAATCTTTACAGACACAGACAGAGAAAAATGGGTTTGAAGTGAAAAGAAAAAAAAAATAAAAATGAAATAACAATCATAATAACAACAAAAACAAACTTCTCCAAATATTTACAGAGTACTAGTGCAAGTGAGGTAATTTATATGTCTAGGTGGCAGAGAGGGCTGGGGCGTGGCAATTTTTTTATTTTTATTTTTTGTAGAGAGAGAAAGTAAGTGTGAGAGAGAGAGAGAGAGAGAGAGAGAGAGAGGGAGAGAGAGAGAGGGGTTGATGAGAATTTATGGAAATTAGGAAGTGAAAGTACTTTAAACTGCAAGGAATTCTGGAAAATGCTTTCTGGGCAGAGCAATCTGCTCTACTTTTTGTGTCGTCTATTCAATTTTTTTTTGCTAAGAATAATAAATAAAAGGGGGGTTTGTTTTTACAGATAAGTGTAAATTAGACAAACTTTTACTGAAATTTGAAAAAATACAATCCAGTTGGTTTTGAAACTTTTTTAAATAATTTTTGAAATTTTAATCCTTATTTTTTTGTTTAATATTATTTTTTACTTTTTAGATTCATTTAATCTAAATATAATTAACATTTATATTAAAAAAAATTAAAAATTCACCAAATACTAAACAATAAAAAAATATATAAATTCAATAATTTTTGTATTTATGAAATTTTTTAATTTATTCATAAATATTTTATTTTTTTAAGCATATTTAGATTAGATATATTTAAAAAATAATTGATCAATATATTAAAAAAATCACTAAAAATATAAAAAATACGAATTGAAAAATTAAAAACTTGTTTTTGAAGACTCAAAATGAAATAAAGAGTTTTCATACAATTGCATCTAATAAGACTAAACTTACCAAAATTAATACAAATTGCGTAAAGACACGAAGATAATTTTAGTATAAAAGATATGATAATATCATTTGTTTGAGTCATATGATTAACAAATTTATGATTAAAAAGAAGTAACATGTTATGTGAATTAAAAACTTCAAAAAACTCAATATAATTATACTAAACTTTTGGGACTAATTATATATATTTTAAATTTTAAGAGAAGTTAGTGTAGTTTATAAATAGTTAAAATTAATTTAAAATATGAAAAAAATATTAATAAAATTAGTGTTATTCAATAATAAAGTCTCAGGGCATATATAATAGGCAAGGATGATTATTATAACATTATTACAATAAAAAAGTGACAACAACTTTATGTAAATATTTAATAATAGAATGTGTCAAAAATTACGTAATAGTAAATAAATAAAAGACAAAATTGTTATTTAGAATAAAATTTTGTTTTGAAATTTAACTCAAGAGTGAAGCGTATACTGTATAAATAAATATATTTTATTTTTCAAGTATGCAATATTATTAAATAAAATAGAAGAACTTACCTATTAGCGGTACTAGCAAAAAATTATTTCATAATCATAAAAAATTTTATGGCTTTAATTATTAATGTGTAATATTTATCCTTTAGCTGTAATTTTTTTAAAAATTGAAAAAAATTAGTGAAATATCACTCTCTAATTTTGGGTAGTAGAAGAAGTCCAATATGTTTTTTTTATTAGTTAAGGTCTCTTGATAAAATTTCTCTATGATCATTTCAGAAAAATTTTGAAATTTTTTTGTGAAATTGAAGAAATTTCTCTGTAAAAATTAAAATTTATCTGTGTCGAATTGTCTCTGTAAAAATATTGAGGGACTCTAATTATTATACCTTTTATCTTATAAAATTTTAATATTAAGAAACTTAAAAAAAAAAAAACCCCACTTAAAAATTTAAACTTAATTAAAAATTTTCTAATAAAATATAGTAAGACTTCGTTTCAGATGTAGATTGGCTTTTTAGTTTTTTGATTATTTTAATTTGGGGTTAAAAAATCTCTTTTGGGATAATTTTTTTGACTTTTTTAACTATTGTAAAATAAAAAATAAAATAATTATGATTTAAATGTAACATTTTATTCTATTTAATTAAAATAATCAATTTTATCTAATATAGTTATTTAACACAAATCAACCTGCGAAACCTAGTCTAAGGCCAAGTTTGGCATATCTCAAATAATCCATCTTTTTATTTTTTTTTATCACATCACCTCTCTACTTTTCTGCATATCTTTTCGTAAAAAGATAAAAAGTGCACTTATTTAGGTCATCCCAAACAATTCCTAAATAAAGTATTGATAAACATCCTAACAATATTAAAATAAAAATAAAAGATAAAAAAACAGTTGGAGAGAGAAATGCTAATGACACTCTCCTAAATAAATAAATTAATTAATTCTCGTATCACAAAACATTAGAGATAATGAGAGACCTTTTTAGAAAATTAATTATCGTATCACAAGACATTAGAGACAATGAGAGACCTTTTAGATGGATGAGGAGGAGATTCATGAGCAGATTACATTTATTTATCTTTTTTCCACTCTCTTTCTTACTTTTTCTATCAATGACTATGGATTGACTGCCTTTTTTTAGCTTTCATTGGTTTTGTATTTAGCTATTTTTTTACTCTTCCCAACTCTTTTACGCAGTGATTGAAAACATTCAACCCCATACGCATCAAGCGCGCGTGCGCAACATAACCTACAAAACATTTTATATTTACGTAAATTACACTCCCTCCCCTCCCCCTAAAGAAAAATAAAAAAAAAAGAACTCCGTACTTTTAGCATAATTACACTAAGGGCAAGTTTGGGATCTTTCAAAAAAAGATAAAAAGACAAAAAGTTAAAAAGTTAACACTATTCATCAAAAGTCAAAAATTACGGCTGCACAACTCCCAATTCGAATTTTTCCCTAGAAAAATAAAAAAAAAAGAACTCCGTACTTTTAGCATAATTACACTAATTTTTTTTTTGGTTTTAATTTACATAATATTTAGATTTTTTTATCAATAATTAGTTAGTCATATAAATAAAAGAAAATTTTGTCATTTTTTTATTAAAATATATAGTTACATTTGTTTATTTCAGTATTTATCCATCATCTGTATTAATTTTTGATCGATTTAAGCTTACTAAAAAGAAAAATTAATGTAATTATGTCAAATTTGTGACCTAACTATATTTTTTCTTAAATCTTAGAAGAAGTTAGTGTAATTTATTATTATTTTTTTTTTTCACATTATGCAGGATCAAAACAGAAGTTAAGGGGTGTTTAGAGATAACCGGACAAATTTTCGATTTAAAAAAATCAAAAAATTAATAATTCATTTTTGATTAGCTAAAATAATCAAATGTTACATCAAATTTTCACTTAGAAAAAAAGTTAATTTTTAACAATTTTCAAACACATTAATTTTTTCATTAATATATAATTACTATTTCAAAATCTCACTTGCACATAATTACTCTAGTTTTTTTAACTTCTGAAAAAGTCAAAAAAAATAAAAAGTCATTAAAAAATAATCAAGAAAATCTAGCCGCACAATGGACCAAACACATAATAGACACAAATGTCAAGGAGTAAGGCCCACATGACATGAGGCCTACTCTTGTGAGACATCTATATTTGATCTTCTATATTCTTAACATTACTGAAACAAAAATTAAAAATTAAAAATTTCTCAAACACTCAATTTATAATTCTTTTTAAAGTCAACGGAACAATAAATTTATTAAAATAAAAAATATCCTTTCCTTTTAGAGGTAAAAAACGTTCATATTAAAATCATATCAATACAAATATCCATCATTACCGTCCCTACCAATATTATTATCACCACCTTGCCACTATCACCACAATTAAGGCTGACTAAGGAATTCGTGAAATTCATAATTCGATCCAGTCCAATCTAATCTAATAAGTTTGGATTGATTTTTTGAATCCGTGATTCGATTCCAGATTGAAGAATTAAAAATCGGTAGTCTACGGATTAGTTCTCGATTGAACCTCACGGTTCCGGATTGGAATCGATCCGGACTGCATATAAATAGTATATATTTTTATTATACATCCTCCCCCATAGTGGCCCCGTTTGGTAGAGCTATGGAAAAGTGATTATAACTTATAGCCTAACAGATTATAGCTTATAGCTGTGACCATAAGCTGATTTTTGACTTATAAATTAAGTTTCTCCTCCCCCATTCAAAGAATAAGTTGATTTTTGACTTATAAAAAAGTATAAGCTGTATTGTTAAACTGAACCAAACACATCAAAATAGCTTAAATTAAGTTAAAAGCTGAAATAAGTTGGAAATAAGCCCTACCAAACAGGGTCAGTATCTTCTCTTATTCTATATAAAACCTAAACTCAAACCTAAACCCGCATGATATCTTCTTTTATTACTTTTATTTGTTAGTTTTTAGTTTTAATTTGTAATGGTCTAAATACTTATGGTAAAATTAGTTTTCTTATGGTTGTTTAAATTCTAAAACAGTATGTCGCTATTATAGAAAGACATGTTACTATTGTGGAACTAATATAGCGCTATATTTATATTTTTATGAAATCAAAGTGTTATATATATATATTATTATTATTATTATTTAATTATGTGAATTCGTGGTTCTAAACCGATCCAATCCGTATTTAAATAGAATAGTTCGGATTGGTTCCATGATTTAAACGGATTGGATTGGTTCCAATTTTTCAGGAACCGTAAATAACGGATTGGTCCTAATTTTACCCCAATTCCATCCAATCCGGACCATGCTCACCCCTAACCGCAACAACATTATCGCTAATATAACCATCAATACAATAATTTCTAAGTTACGACTAAATATAGAAAAATAATTTTTACATAACATTTTAAAAAAAATTATGTAAACTTATTTGATTTTATTAGGTGGGTGTTTGAGATTTGCTTATTTAATTTTTTTAAAAATTTTCAAAAATTCTTATTGACAAACCAAAATATTAAAAAAAATAAAAAATAAATTCAGAAAAGACAAATAAAGCAAAATTAGTAAACTTTTTGGGCTTATTTTGGATTTTCACCTTTTTTTGGATTTTTTTGTAAAAAATTACATTTTAGATTTGTCCACTACAAAAAAACAGTCCAAATAACACGGAACTTTTTGCGACGGTATAGGTACTATCGCAAAAACTGGTATTTTGCGACGGCATTTTCAAATCGTCGCCAAAAATGGACTTTTGCATATGACAAAAATAAATAA